TTCTATTGTTTTTCTTCTCTTTGTTTCTCTTATTTTCTCAACCAATCACCTCTTGCATGCATTCTTTCTCTTTTCAGCCCTTCATCTCCTCTCTCCCTGTTATACTCATTGGATACGGAGGGATTTAATTGGTTCTTCACAGCTTTCTTGAACCTCATTAACATTTCCAGTGTGGGAGGTTAGACTCAGGAACAGCAGGTAGAAAGCTACAGTAGTAGTATTCCAGGTAATTATCTGAATTAAGGTAGTGGCAACGAGAGTCATAATGGTGGAGATAAAAGTGAAGATACATTCCTCATTAAACAAAAACAGCTAACATTTTTATAGGGCCTAACGTGTGCCAGGCTTTATTCTAAATGTTTAATGTATTTTAACTCATCCAGTCCTCCTAACAACCGTCTGGGGAAAGTACGTCCATTTTCAAATGAAAGAATGGGAGGCCTTGCCCACCTAAAGCTCTGCTCCAGAGATCTTGCTCTCAAACAACATGCTATAAGCAAGTAGAATCTTCAGGGCAGGGTGGCCCTGGATCTCCAGAGTCTATGGGGTTCATATTAAGAATCTGTGATATTTCTATACATGAGGCTGTAAGAGCAGGTGAGTCAGTCAGGATGGAGAGGATAGCATGAAAAAGCACACAGACTGAGAATAGAAGCCAGAAGGATCTTCAAAAAAAATTTAAAAGAAACAAGAGTAAAAGAAGAAAAACCCAAGACAAAGATATAAAGGAAGTGAGGGTGGCAACATCCCTTTCCAGTGATTATGGTGCCTTTTGCTGAGAAAAGTTTCATCTTTTATGTAGTTAAATAGATCAATGACTTCTGTGAGCTGAAGTTTACAGTCACAAAGGGGTTTGTTTTTTTTCTTTCATACCTAATTCCTGAGTCCTGTCACCTTATTTCTGAACTTTTCTCATTCTGATATATGTTGTTCTCTCATATCTTGTATCATTTTTCTTAATGTATTCTGGACGTTTTGAAATAGGTTACAGTTTTTATCTGTTTTATGGCCATTTCTTTCCTGCCTGCTTTTACTCTCTGTGAAAACGTTATTCTTCCAGTTACTCTCTTTTATTTACATCACATCTTTGTACATTGAGCCTCAGCACTTTCTGGTTGCTTGTTTTTAAGGTGAGATTAACTTTCCTGAACATTTAGGGTGTGTGTGTGGTTAATAGTAACTTTTCTAATCTCACAGAACTCTCTCTTATTGGTTACTTTTCCAAAATATGGTTTGCTTTCCTAAAATTTTGACCATTGCCCTCCTCATCTTTATCTGGACCTTCTGTTTTTCTCTCTCTCTGTCCTGTGTTGCTCACTTTTTATTTCACACCCAGTAGTTTATCTTCAGGCCTGGAAAGGACCTATGGTGGCTCAGTTTTGAGAATTCATAGGGTCTAGACTACGCCAGACCCTTCAGATTTAGCTACGGCTCCTTTCCTCCACCTGTTATTGGATTGGACAAAATCCCTCCCAGTTCCAGGTGCTGTTTTCTCTGACCAACTGTGTTTTCCACTAAGTACCTGCTGACTATTTATGTAGTTTCTGGTTTTCTCGGGTCCCTCAGAGACCCATACAATCCCTTTGCTTAAATGTGAAAAAAAATTAACAAGGAAACATAGGTTTGTTTAAATGTCGAGGGAGATAGCATCTAAGAGGAAACCAGAGAGAGAAGGAATTATTAAGTATTCTCCTTTCCCTCCTTCCCACTAAAGTGTAAACTGAATGAAGGCAGGAATTTTTGCAAGTTTTTTTTATTGCTGTTTGCCCAAGTACTGGAATAGTGCCTACAGTTTCCAAGACACTCATATTTGTGAACCATTAAATTTTTAAAAGGCAAGAGGGTGCTATGGACTGAGTGCATCCCCCTGGAACCCATATGTTGAAGTCCTAATCCTCACTGCGATGATAGAGGTGAGGTCTTTGGGAGGTAATTACGTCCAGATGAGGTAATGAGGTCATGGGGCCCTTGTGATAGGAGTAGTGCCCTTATAATATGAAGAGACAAGAGCTCTCTCTACACCATATGAAGATACAGCAAGGTGGCCACCTGTAAACCAGGAACACACACCAGAAACCTACCTTACTGGTTCTCTGATCTTGGACCTCTAGCTTCTAGAACTATGAGAAATAAATTTTTATTGTTTAAGCCAGCCAGTCAGTGGTATTTTTGTTACATCAGCTTGAACAAAAGACAGGGGGAATCAGGAAATTATCCTTAAGAGAGGAGCATAAAATCTCTTGCTTAAAATTCTTCAGTGCACTTTTCTTGAGCTCCAGATATATATGACTCATAGTTTACAATGTGGCACTTAAGATCTTTTAAAATCTACCCTACTCTATTTACCTATATCTCTCCCTCATACCTAAATCTGAGTATTTTACAAGTATCCTCCCACACTTTTGTACTCATGTCTTTACTTAACATCTATCTTCCCTCTGCCAGGAAAAGCCCTCCATACCACTATGACTAATGAAATTTCACTTATCTTTCCAGAATCCACTCACTTATTAACCCTATGGGAGGGGCCTAGGTAAGAACAGCAGATAAAAGCTGGAGACCCCTTTCTATATGCTGGGTACTTTCTGTCCTTAAACATTCTCGGTGACATAGTTATTGTTTCCATTTGAAAGTTTAGAAACTAAAGTTCAGAGGTTGGGATTTGCTTGAAAAAATACTGATTCTTGGTTAGCACTGGGAGTGAGGCCCAGAATGCCTTTATTCTAAAGCTCATACTTTTTTCTATACCACATGGGTTTGGGGCCAATCCATTATTCCTCTAGCTAGGACAGCACCTGACATTTGTACTCCAGGTATCTTTATCTTTCAGTACACTGTGAGTTCGAGGCCAGAGCCTGCCTTATTCATCTTTTTACCCAAACAATTATCAAAGAGCATAGGAACTTATGCTCTTTGATAATATACATCGGTTGAAAACAAATGGTGGCAGTTGTTTATAGAATAGCTCTAGTACTGAAAGAATTCCGTATTAGGTGTTTTCAAGCTAAACTCAACCTATTTCCCCAAAAGTGAGGATTTCAAGGGTCCAAGCAGCCTCACTACTATCCCAGGCAAGCCCATGAGTATGATGCACCTAGTTTAGCCACTGCACTTTCCAAGAAGGTTCCATGAGTCAGATGACATGAATGAACTCTTTCAGGACAGTTCTAAGTGATCAGGGGTGCAGAAAAGGGCGGAGGAGTTCTTGAACAGTAGATAGTTCATCTTGCTTTGTGGCAAGAAACCACAGCCTTGGAGAATAAGAACAAAGTAGGTTTTCCAGTCTGCTCCAAAGGATTTCTTCCAAAAATAGTACAACAGCCAGTAACACAAACCAAATGTCTTCATTTACAGAATTCATACTCTAGTGGTAGGAAATAATTTTATAATAAAGTGGGGATGTGGGTGAAGGAAAATACGAGAGATCTGAACAATGTTCAAAGGAAAAGCAATGAAACCAGTGTGACTAGTGTGGCGAGCAAGGGGTGGGGGGTAAAGGTAGGAAAGGAAGTCAGAAAGGCAACACATGATGTGGGCCGTGTCTAACAGATCACGTCAAAGGCTTTGGGGTTACAAACGATGAGGATTCAGTGGCTTTACCAGGGGATTAACATGATCTGATTTGCATCTTTAATTTTTTTTTTCCAGAGAACAGACAGCAGTGGAGTCAGAGCACAAGGAGGAAGGCCCACTATGAGGGTGTGAGAATAGCCCAGTGAGTAATAAGGGGGGAACTATGGTTATCGGGAAGAGTGGTGAGAGGTTACATCCTAAATGTATTTGGGAGCTCTATCCAAGATTTGCTAAGTGCTAGAGGTATGAGAACAGATGGAGCCATGGACCCTGGTTTTTGGCTTGAGCAGGAGGGTGAATAGAATACAGTTTAGTGAGTAAAGGAACACTGGAAAAGATCCAAAGTTTGTTTGAGAAATCAAGAGGTCTATAGGGAATATTTGTAGATGAAATTATGTGACTATGATTATTTCAAAATAATCCAGAGGTCTGTAAATATTAAAAAAGGTTGAACACTGCTAATTGTTGAGACGGGGTGATGTGCACATGCAGGTTTATTATACTATTCTCCTTCTGCATTTAAAGCTGTTCTATAATAATATTAATATTTTAATAAACTTTTTAAAGAATACATATGGTTAGACACATTACATTTGAGAGGCCCACCAGACTTCATGTGGAGCTGTTAGTTAGATATATATGAACTGGAGTTCAGCAAAGAAATCAAAACTAAAAATTGTGGGCATTATCGGCATATTTAAAACCATGGGACAGGATGAGAATACCTATGGAGTGAATAAAAATAAATAGGCCCAGCACTAAGAAACTGAACTTGCCAACCTTTAGAGATGAGAAAAATCTTGAAAGGCATTTATGCCAGGATTTCTAATGCATAGGAAGTCACTAAAAAATACATAACTTTGAATCAGTAATTCCATCTCTAGGAATGCATAAGAAATGAACAGGACTAGTGTATACAGACTATGGAAAATATTTATTATAAATGCTCAGTAGGAAAGAGGAAGGGGGTGGCATGGCGAAATAACCTGAAAGTCAAACAGTGGGCTAGCTTGATACATTATAGTACATTCAATGGAATATTGTGCTGCAATTAAGAATGGTGTAGGTATATTCTCAAAATTTATTGAGAAAAGCAGATCAAATAGAGCTTTCTAGTTTGTTTTATACTTATTTGTTACATTATAATGTAAATGTTTTGCATTAATCATTCCATCAATAACCTAAAATAGTAAATGTTATTATATTTGGTGGTAAAATTATGTAATTTTTCCCCACTTCATTTATCTGTTTTTGTAATTTTTCTCTACAAAAATATACAAGGTTAATTTTTAAATAAGGCTCATTAAGGAATATAAAGTACAAACGACCTTAAATAGGAAGCTGATTTAAATTAATCAAAAATTATATTGATACCATAACATCTGACTAAAATAACTATTATTTTAAAATAAATATACCATAAGAAATAATTTCGATACTATATAGTTTATTTAAATTAAGATACATAACAATATTACACTGTTAGATATATATGAACTGGAGTTCAGCAAAGAAATCAAGGCTAAAAATTGTGGGCATTATCGGCATATTTAAAGCCGTGGGACAGGATGAGAATACCTATGGAGTGAATAAAAATAAATATGCCCAGCACTAAGAAACTGAACTTGCCAGCCTTTAGAGATGAGAAAAATCTTGAAAGGCATTTGTTGCACTGTTTAGGTAACATTTCTAATTACTTGCAAATGACCTACACACAGTTTCTCAGCTACCAAATTCCAAGTATTTCAATGGTGTCATATTTTTCAAAACGCATAAGCTATATCCTACAATTTGGCATATAAATTCAAACACAATATATACTCTACACACTGACTTTAAATAACCTAAGGATAAGTGACTTTATTAAAAGTCAAAGCAATATATTTCTCTGTAATAAAAGTTACAATACACATGCCATTTTGAGATTAACTGTATCTAGGAAAATTACTCTGTGAATATCATTTATACTGGAGTACAAATTCACATAAAATACTTTCTTTAAAACATGCTCTATTTTAGAAAAAAAGTTAAATGTGGGCCAAGGACTTTTAAAATCTCAAGAGATTTGTTTTAATCAAACTGATCTAATTCTAAGTTTTTAGACTATTAAGTGCCATTCCACTTCCTCTTATTTAGCTAATGACATCATTGACAAGGTCTTATTCATGAGCTTTACCTTAAAATTAAAATTTAAATTTGTTTGCAACATTTCACATTTAAAAGAATTCAGCCTTCAGTTTAAAACTGTAACAATTCTGCTTTTTTCTCACAATGTTTTTATTAGATAGAAACTATTATGGCTTCAGAAAATCCTGTTTAGGTCAATACTCTGACTCTAAAAGCTTCTACATGTATTTCATTAATATCTGAGTCAAACTTCTAGATTTCATTAGGGATATTAAATAAATACCTTTAAACTGCTTATTTCATCTTGGTTATAAAAATCATCAAATACTACATTGCTGAAAGAACTTTTTCTTTCTTGGCTTTGGGCCATTCAGTGTCTTTTCTCTCTCAAAAGTGAAAATTATTGCTTTCTTATATCTAATAATATTGTTCAAGCATAGATTTTAATAGATTAAAAAAACAAGCTTTAAACCAAATATTGATTTTCCTCCTGTAACTCACATTTGTCTATTGAATCAGTTACCCAACCTTCTTGAAGAATTTTAAACTTTCTCTTAAGAGTTCTTCGAAAAGCTTTAAAATCTGCAACACGACTATGATCCTCCCCAATGATTACATGAGACACTCCCTCAGCTAAACAAGAAACTACTTTTGCTCCATGAAATCGAAGCTCTAAGGCTGTAATAGCTAATCTTGTGCCCTCGATTTTAGTATTCAAGTTATTAATAACAGTATACAAGTCCAAGTAAATGGTGTGGCGTCGAAACATACTGATGGGAAAGCAGTCCCAGGAATATCGATATTCTAAATCAGCAATCACAGAAGCCATTTCTTTAGGAGTCTGTTCACTAGAATTTTTAATTCCCGAGAACACCTCCTTCAGTTGATTCAAATCTGTATCAACAAAATAACTATCACCATAACGATCATATTCACGAGCAAAATGTTGTTTTGTTGATGGGCACATATGAATCATAAAGCGAGGCTGCCATGGCACACAGCTTTTGGTCTTAAAACATTCTAGTAGCCACTCAGGTTTGACAACATCATGTTTATTTGAAGATATTATGTTCTTCACTCGTATGTTCTCAGACCCTGCAATAACACAGTATGTGTCTGGGCCTGGATTTTGTACTATATAACCACCAAATTCTGCAATTCTATTCTCCAGATCATGCTTTGGATGGCTGTTTAGTCCACTCATAACACAAAACTCCACATCTTCAAATATATTGGAAACTTTGTTTACTTTAGAAAGGTTAGGTGCTTTTAAGTGCTCGATAATTCCAATAACTTTCTTACTCTTTGGGGCAGCTTTCCGCTTTTTTACTTGTGGTTCATCATCACCAACACAAAGGTGTTTAGATGCAAGCTTTCCAGACGCTTTCCCTCGAAGTTGTTCTAAGTCATCCAGAGTCATGCATTCATGCCACTCTTTGTCTTCCCTTATCTTTTCAATTCGTGGAAAACGCAAAGTGCAGCCAGTTTTATACATGTCACTGGGAACAATCTCCGTTGCTTTAATCTGAACAATGACAGAATTACAAGGCTCAATGTATACTTCTGGCTTCTCTGTTCCACATAAAATGCTACTTGGTGGAGCTTTTTTATGAAAAGGCTTCCAATGTTTAGCCAGTTTCAAACCCAGATCATACAGTTCTTTCATGGTGTAACCTGAGCCAACACGAGAGAGAGTATGAAATATGGATGGTTTTTCACCAGAAGGGGGCTTCTCTGCAACAGCACACAAAAAATGAGACATCATTCCACCCCGTGAACCTTTACCCCAATAGCCCCCGACAATTATGATGTCCAGTTCATCCATCAGTCCATTTACATACTCTGGTTTAATTTTAAACCATCCTTCACCTCTTTTGTCTGGCTTATAAATGGATAGCGGTTGTTTTATCATGATTCCCTCTTCTCTTTTATCTATTGCTTCATTCAGAGCATCAATTACTTCTTTATTAGTATGAGCTTGTGTTTTTTGCACTATTTCTATTCTACCTGGTATTGGTGTAAAAATACCAGTAAGAATTTCATGCCTCTTTCTCAGGGTTTCATGTCCTAGCTTTTTATTATTGACCATCAATACATCAAAAACACAGTAACAAGTTTGCAGATCAGAATCTTCTACCATTCTTTTAATATCAAATTTATTCCCCTTCTGCATAAAAGTTTGTGTACTAGGATTGTAGGCCATCATCTCACCATCAAGGATACAAATTTGTATATCTGTTTTGAATGCATTATGAATGAATGGTGTAAGAGAACCTTCCTGTGGAGAAGCACCAAACTGTTCTGTATATTTAAATCCATTTCGGGAGAAGTATGCATATACATCCCCATCTTTGTGCATTTGCATACGCTCACCGTCTAGCTTGGTTTCAATGTAGAAACTATGGTTTTTCATGTCCTTCTCAATTCGCTCAATATCTGCTATTGCAGCTAGCATTGGTTTAAAGGGAGAGAATAAAGTGATAGAAATATCACTGAGTCCTACTGAAGGATCATGTAGTTGCCTACAGACTTTTTCCAGATCTGTGGTGACATTATGCAACTCAGCAGCATCATCATGAAAAACAGAAAATATAGTTTGCTGACTAATACCTAGCTTTAAATCCTTCACAATCATCCGTATAAGCCACTTTTGTTCAAGTGCTGAACTCTGACTTATAAGCTGAAGAAGGTTCTTCTTTATTAGGTCCTTTCTTTTAGCAGAATTATTGCTGGCAATTGAATCTAAAATGTCATTTACTTGCTGTATGGTTAAACGTCCTTTCTGTAAACATCTTGGTTTCAAAACAAAGTATGCAATCATTGCAAAGTCTCCAGCATCTCCACGAGTTCCAGTAGGTGTTCTGTAATTTAAAAGTTTAAGAGCATCTTTTCCTTCTCTAGGTAAACTGAGCAATTCAATATAAAGCTTAGCAAGCATAGTTTCTTTGATGCCATAGGCCATTCTCTCTCTTTCTAGCTGAGGAAGAATAAGTCTCATTGCTGGATAAAAAGAGTCTGTGACATCTTTCTGGTTCTTATGAAGGGCATCATGGAATTTTCTCCAAGAATCTAAGAATTCCCTGAAGTGTCTTGTTTTATTTGCACGTCCTTTACTCATCTGTATTCGTTCTAAAGTTGAACATAGATCTGCAAAAGGAACGTGAGATGCAACAGTTTCTGAAGTTTGTGAGGTAGCCATAGAAGCAATGGGTGAATCCTCTGGTTCAGCTAATAAAACAGAAAGAGAATAACTTTGAGTAAACGATAAAATTCAACTAAATATTTAATATAAAGATCTTACATAGAATACCTGGTTCATAATGCTTGCTAACTGAAAACAGATCAGCACCATAAATGCTACAAATAATGACTCATTTCAATCTCTACATTTAATAATAATCAACAATTTTATCATAATTACATTTAGTATTTATTATCCAAAGTATCAATACTCCCATTCCCTGTATTTATAATACTAAAATCAATCATTTTAATTTTCTCCCTAAATTGCAGCTTCTATTGAAATGAACTATTTCATTCCTTATTTAGCACATAATGCAAAAGATGATTGCTAATAATAACAAATAAGGCTCAATTCAGTGTATTTCTGAAGTTCTTATATTTCTCCTCTCTTTCTGTCACCATACTAGAAACAAAATTCTTAAAACAGATGTTTTCAACAAATCATTAGCTCACTGAATTGAAATTTAGCTTTGTAGGAAGTCTGAACTCCTACATAGATAGGACCCTTCAACATAAATACATAAATAAATTAAATAAATAAAAATAGGTATCTCTTTCTTTCAGATAAACAAAGCCTACATCTATGTTTGCGTCCACATCTTCACTGCTAGCTATGCCAATCACTCCAGAATTCAAAACTCACCTCAAAATACCCTCCCCATGGAATCCTCACTTGACTAGTCTCTTTTAACTCTGTATTTTAACATAGTTACTTACAGTTTTAAAAATTTAAATTCATTAGCACACTTTTTTGTTTATATTCCCTGCCAGTTATCCATCTACCTCCCCAATTCACCCAACCATTCACTGACTGAACATGAACCAGGCACTGTGGTGTGGGCAAATACAGTATAGAATTGCCTTAAGAGAGCATGCACCCCATAAAGAAAAAGGGACATAATGGGAACTAATTATAAAATGCTAAGTGCTTTAACAAAAATAAAAACAGCAAAGTGTCACGACACAGGGCTTTTCACTGAAGTATCTTCTAAAGTCAGAGAGGAAATAACAGGTACCTTGCTGTGCTAAGGTCTAGAATATTTCTTAAAGCAGTCATCCCAAGTGTGATTTTTTTTTGACATTTTAAATACACATGTAAGTTCTAATAGAATCTATAAGGTATCAGGGCTATTTTAATACAGTTTAATCTATATAACACTCATTTTTCAAAGAGACTTCAAGTAAAAATGTGTGCTCCAGGAATACAGATTCTTGTTTTTATCTAGTGGTTTCAGACACCTCCTGGCACATTCCATGTAGCCCAGAGAGCCCAGAGCAGGGTCACAGGGAATGGGGTGAACTGCTATAGTGCAGAGACCACAAAATTCCCCACTCCTGCAAACAAAAACCACCATATACATTATCAGTACAAGGCTACATTATCTAGCTCAAGATAACTACTGTACCACATTAACTAAACTGTCAGTCTCTAGAAGTCAGAAATCATGTTGCGATTTGTGCCACTAATGATTGGCAAGACACAGGTTTGTTTGTTGGATGAATTACTCAATAACTAGAGTTAAGTTCCTGGGAAACCACACTAGGGAATGCCAGGAGACAGACAGACAGACAGACAGACACACACACACACACACACACACACACACACACACACGGCTGTGGTACTCAGGTTAAAAACATTCAAAAGCTATTATTGCACTGGGAAAGGTTCAAAATAGCCATTTATTGGCCTATAGGGAAAAAAAGCTACGTTTTGTAGTCTAATTCCTGACAAAGAAAATCCCACTTTTACTGAGGTAGTTAGATCAAGAAATAAACTCATGAGACTATAGTCTTAAGACTTTTATCTTTGAATATAGTAACTGCTTCCTCTCACTGTGTCTCATTTGCATAACTGAATGCACCACCTGGTTATGTATGTTAACTGTCCTACACTGAAAACATGCTCCCTCAAGGCAGTATATTTTGGTGTATGATGTTATTTTTATAATTTATATAATGTATGTTAACATTAAGTATGTAAAGAAATACTTCTTTAAGTGTTCAAGTATATATATACAGTTTCCAATCTATCTGTAGATTTTATATGGTCTCAAAGTCATTTTCCCTCAACAAGTTTCAGCCAAAGACTCAAATTATTTTATACTAATGTTGAAATCTAGTTATGGGTATAGATACACATGCATGTAAGACTGCTATGTAGATGACAAGGTTTCAAACATTAGTATAAAATGAATAGACAAATATTTTTACTTATTTAAATTGTATTTTGATACAATATTAGGATTTCCACTGCTTTTTACATGCTCTCTAATTTTATTTTCTGGATTCTGGGGTTATTTTAGCTTAAGTTTTCAATTGGTGAAAAAATAAAACAAGATATGTGGTTGGGGCTCAGGCTCTGGAGTCCAATAAATCTGAATTCAACTGTGGACTCTAACACTTAATGGCTGTGTGATACGGGCAACTACTTAATTTCTCTAGGATTCAGTTTCATGAAGTGTAAAATGGGGTTAATAACTGCAGAAATCAGGATGACAATGACATCAGATAATTTACTTAAGGTGCTTAACACAGTACCTACCATTTAGTAAGTCCCTGGTCAATTTCAGTACTATAATGTTTGCTGATCCAAGCAACACTTAAAATAAAATTATAAGTATTACAAAATACTAAGCAGGTAAGAAGTGGGGCACTTCACTTTTTGATAACAATAAGCAAAGATTTCAAGAGAATGAATATATAGCAATTAGTACAACGACTTATCATCCATTCAGCTGCTGCCTCTACTGTCCAGAAGTGACACAACAGAACACACCAGCAAAGCTTGTGAATATGGAAGATGATTCCATGCTGTTTTACTGGAGAGAAAGTGACTCGTACAATTCAAGTTACTTCGTGCAGCCCTGGACAAGACGACGTGTTTCCCAACGAGACAAAGGGTTTAAAGGAACCTACCTCCCACAGCACTGTGTGATGACATGGGGAGAATCTCAGCAGAAAGAAATCAGCGGTAAGAAAAAGCCAGAAGCCCGTGGGAGCCAGTAAGCTCATGAAAGACTAAGTGTAAGAAGAGAAACAAGGTCATTCCCTCCAAGCCGACAGCCTCTCCCTCCAACTCCGCCGACACACGGCCGCCCCGCTCCTCCGCCCCCAACGAAACCTCCCGCGGACGGCGGACCGCGGGGAATCCCCGGCCCTGGACACATCCGTGGCTCTCTGAGCGCGAGGGTCCCCACTTGGGGGCGGGGTGGCCTCGGAGTCCGAGTGTACGCGGTTAAAGCCACCGGCAGGGTTCCGGGGAGACGAGCGCGGGGGAAGCCCGAGCCCTCCGGCCCCGCGCCCGGGGCGGGGCCAGTC